CCCTTCCCCAGTAGAAGGGATTTGCCTTTGGCAAATGAAGCATTGCTCTAAAGAAACTGTGAGTAAACTTCAGCTCGGAAAATGGATTAACTGGAAATTTCTCTCAAAAACAGTAGTAGGAGCCTAACTTTGCAAGCCTGGCAACTGTTAATTTTTAAATCCTTTAATCCCATAGTAGAGGCTTCTGGCGTGAGCTGGGCGCTGGTGTGCGTGCCCGCACGGGGCAGGGAGGGGATTCCAGCTCAGGCTTGTGAGCTACCAAATCTTGTCCTGGGAAGTCAGTACAGCTCTGGGGGAAAACCACTGGTGAGGTGGTAGGGTTGGAATGATTCTGAGAAGAGGCAAAGGAGGGAGAGGGCTTGAACACATCTGCTGAGCGGAGGCACCTAAAAATACAGTGCTTATGTCAACCTGATTACATGATGCGGTAACATGGAAGAACAAGAGGAGAGAGTGGGTAGGTGTGTTCAGAAAGGGAAGAGATTAAGTGACTCAGCGGGAATGATGCAAAAGAGGAGGACAGAAGTGGCAAAAAGCTACGAGCCAGAGAAATTAGAGTGAGTCTGTATAGGAGCTTGAGAAGAAAATTATGAAAACTGCTCTTATGTTAAAGAGCCAACGAGGATGATATGTCAGAGCGAGAGAGGGTAATGATAGATCCGGAATTCAATTACCAAGAGGAAGGGATTAAAGTCAAGGGTCTGAGTTGTTCTAGTGGATATTCTCTATTACTAAATTCATTAGATGGTAAGAAATTGCAAGCCAGTTTGAGGATGCAGAATTTAAAATGACATTTTGAGTAGGCTGCAGAGGGTCAAGAGCACTCAACACTTGTCCTCAAGTGCTCCAGCCGGCTTGGTGGTGACGCTGCGGCCAGGTCAAAGCACAGCACTCCTCTCCACGTGCATCTCAGACCAGTGTGCTTGTGCACGCATGAGGGCCTGCAGCTGTGTGTTTTTCTGGGAAAACTCCCCTTGCAAAGGGGTGAAAGGCAGGAGGCAGGAACAGGGTACCCCTGTGTGTCACAGAACACGCTTCTGTTGGTACCCTCATCTGCCTGGCCTGAGTTTGGTTTAAGTCTTCACTTTTTTTTTTTTTTTTTTGCACTTGAACATGGAAGCTTAATTTTGTTTGAGAAGACTTAGAAGGGATCTCTTGCATCCATTTGTTTCCAAACAGCTTGCAGTAAGAAAACTTTACTATCTTACCCTAAAGTCTCAAATTTCAAAAGCATAAGAATTTTAAGACTTAATCTCTACAGAAGGTCTGTTCTTCTGCTTTTGTTTTCTGCATCTTGTGCTAAAACCTTTTTTCTTTTTTAAATTCAAGAGGGCCCCGCACCAACTCAGTCCTCCCTTCCTGGGATTTCCTTTAGCATATGCCAGCTAGCATCTTTGTAAGTTTCGCTGTGTAGAGATGAACAGGTATGGTGTCCTTGCTGTCCTGTGCACCGCTGTACTTACCGACGCACCTCTCTGCCCTTTGGTGCTAAATCCGACTGCAACAAAGCAGTTGTTGGTTTATGTTTTAGCTAGTGATGCTCTAGGAAAGGAGGACCCTTCTGTGAATGCCATCGCTGTGTGTTTGCTGCAGTGAGGTTTCTCATGAAGATAGCGTAGAAGAAAACTTTTTTTTTTGTTTGTTTTTAATTTCTTCTGTAGTTTTCTGCAAGGCAGAATGTGTGGTACCGGCACAGTCAAGTGCCCTGGCTGGCCTGTGGGAAGCAGCAGGAACGTGCTTGTGGAGCCGTGCTTCTTGCAGCAGCGACCTGTTGGGTTGGCTTCACTGCGTTTGAGAGCATTCCTCGTTGTATTAAACTGACACTAGTGTTGTTAAAGCCTCTCCTAATATTTGTGTCCTAAAAAGTCAGGTCAGTGCTGGAGATTCAGGCACCTGAACGCCAGAGGTCCATTATCCCATCATACGCTCTGTAACTTAGGTGAAAAATCTGCCAGCGAGGGAAGATTCTGGGGGTTGATTAAATTTGTCTCCCAATTGTATGCAAACATAGATGAAATTGTTTTCTTTATGTAAGCTTAGAGCAGAGGCAAAAAGAGCAAATTTCCGGCAGCTGCCATCAATTAAGGATGATCTGCTCACTACTCCTGTCTTTTCAGCTTGGATCTAGAAAACAGGCTTTCTGCATTGCCATTAGCCTAGAGAGATGCATTTGACATTAATGGTAGGACTTCCTGCACGCTTCTGTTAAACCAATGCAAATTCTGTAGGCTAAACAAGGAAGTACTCAATTTCCAGAACTGAAAAATAACTCTCTGCAGTGGCTTCTGACACCGTCTTTTTCACACATCACCTTTGACAAAGTCTATTAATCAGTGGATGGACTAAAGATGGGGGGAGGGGGGTAACTTTTTTTTCTTAAATAGGAAAGTAGGAGGGTGATGGTAGAGATAGTGGAGCGGTGTGAGAAGGCAGCTGTGAAGTAAAGCAGAGAGGAAGGGTTTGAAACAAACAGCTGGTCACTGCAGAGCAGGAAATCTGGTCCAACCTGGTGGGGAAAACTGTTGAGTGTTCACCTGTCTATGCCTTAGGTGCATCTTAGCTTGTTTTTTTTCCCCTTCAGTGCCTGCGTCCTCCCGGTACTGTTTCCTGGTCATGTAGGAGAGCACATATGGGTGGCAGTGATATCATCGCAGGGATGCTAAGACTTTTATGCATGAGTAGGCATTGTTTACCGCTTTGTAAATCCTCGTGCATCACAACTTATCTGTGTTAAGTTATCCTATGAAACAGACCGGTGATGTTCTTCGAGTGTTTATCAGTTGTGGGCTTAGCTAGACGGTAGCAGCTGAGGCAGGAATTAAGACCTGAGCAGGGTGTTAGGTGAAACTGGGTCGCTTGGGTGAAGGCTGCTGAGCGGCAGGGCAGCCGCGAGGGCTGTACGTGGTGGGGCGACGTACGGGCAGCTGCCATGGGGCTTGACACAGCCGCCGGGGTCGATGCACCTTCTGGCAGTGGAAGAGTATTTCACGTGATGGGCTTCTTGCATAAATGGGGAAAGAAAGGCGTGCAACGACAAATGTGTTTGGGCATGTGAGGAGAAAAGTGATGCCCTACCTTCCTGCGCTGGTGCGTATTCTGGGAAGTATATAGGCTGTGGACTTGCCAAGTCAGAGCAGTTAGCGAACGCGTTTGAAGTTGGGCAGTGTGAAGGCAAAGATGCACGGTTCACTTTATTAAGATGGTGCCTAAACCAGGGGGAGAGGTTGTTGTGAGCTGTATACTCCTGCTTTCAATGCAACCTGTTCCCTTGTCCAGACGCAACAGCGGTGACCTTTTGGGCAAGATGTGCAAACATGCAGCTTGTCTTCAGAGCTTTCACAGCGCCTTTCACTGCCCTGTTTGGTTGACTGCTGGTAAGGATACAATAGATCTTGTGAAGGATTGTGGCAAGGACTTCACTATTTCTGCACGAGTGTGTATCAGCTATAAATAATGGTGGGCATTCGCTGTTCAGAAATCTCCCCCTTTGCTGTAGCAAATTCCTTTTCAATGTATTGCATGCCACACACGAGCCAGGATCCCCTTACAGATCAAAAGCAGCTTCTCTGAAACAGATGTGCTCGCAGTGCTGCTCCCTGATGCAAACAAAAGTTTACTTTCTATTATGGGTTAATGTGGCTGCTGTGCGTACTTTCTTGATGAAGGCTTCTTGACCACCTTCTGCAAGTATTGCACAAATACGAAAAACAAACTTTTTGCCACTATCCTTATCTCAAGCTGAATGCAATATCTTAGGATCATAGAATCACAGAGTGATTTAGGTTGGAAGGGACATTAGAGGTCATCTAGTTCCAGCCCCCCTGCCCTGGGCAGGGCCACCTCCCCCCAGCCCAGGTTGCTCCAAGCCCCGTCCAACCTGGCCTTGAACACCTCCAGGGATGGGGCAGCCACAGCTTCTCGGGGCAACCTGCCCCAGGGGCTCACCACGTGCACAGTCAAGAATTTCTTCCTTATACCTCATCTTAATCTCCATTCTTCCAGTTTGGAGCCATTCCCCTCGCCCTATCACTACAT